TTAAGCGTTTGGAGTTTTTTTAATTTAATTCTGTTATTTAATTTCTGACGCTTTTGTACGATACGACTTGTTTTTCTTATCCCATTTTGGCGCTTATGAACGATACGATTTTGGCGCTTTTGTACGATACGACTTTTTTTTTCTTATCTTATTTTGGCGCTTATGTCTTACACCGAATACTAACAGCACACTATTGGACATAGCGATCGAAATTCGGTATGTAGTACGTCATAGAGACAACACATGCAGGTGCGATATTCTCTTAAGGGGATTCGATAACGTGATTTTCTGTCTTTGTTTAACACAAGACGCATGATGCGCGTYAGAGAATTTTGGCCGTATTCTTTGTCAAACGTACCGACGAAAATGGTGAAGTAATGCAAATTCTAAAAACTGATTTAAATTTTTCGTTAAGTTTATTTGAAATCTATTTTTATATTTTGATTTTAATTTTTCCGAAATTTAAAAACGGCAACWTTTTAATAAAACATTTTTAACATAACAWTTGTAGGAATTCAGGAGATAATTTCGAAAATGTGGAAAAGTCAATCTCAAGTAGTCATGAAGACAATTTCAAATCTGTTTTTAAAATTCTTATCCCTAAGTTAGATTAATTGGTACGCTTGGCAAAGAACCAGTCAAAAATTTTATGTCGCGCGTACATTGAACAAAAACTGACAATAATAATATAATGATGGTATCGAATGCCCTTAACATATACTTCCAGTCGTGCACTATACAGGGTGATTCTTCTATCAAACAACACTCATTATTTAAAAAAGTATTGACTTTTTTCAATTTTTTTTTTCAAAATTGTAGATTTACACTCTTCTTGAATTGTTTATTATTTTTATATTTTTCACCCTTGTATTTATTAGATAAACCACTATCAACTTTTGATTTTCAAATGGTAACCTATACTTAAAATTTCATAAATTAATAAAGCTATTTTTTTTTATTAATTACCACGTTAAAATTTTGAATTTAGCGCTAGTAGTTTATGAGTTATGGGTATTTAACGTTTAGATTGGCATAGTGGAGTGGTCCGACGTTACTCCACAAAATGTTTGTCCACTACTCCGCTTGTCTAAACTTTAAATACTTATAACTCATAAACTACTCGTCCTCAATTCGATTTTTATGTATCAAAATTTTTAGAAAAATATTCTGCTTTGGGATATGAAATTAAAAAACTATGTTGCCATTCAAAAAAGTAAAAAACTTAAAAAATGATAAGGATAAAAAATATTTAAAAATATAATTTTTTAATAAAAGCGTTGGTTTTTTAACAACTTGAAACTATGTAAAAAAATATTTTGAAAAAAGTCAATACTTTTTTCAATAATGAGTGTTGTTTGATAAAAGAATCACCMTGTATATTATGCATGCATGTAGTTCAGTATATGGTATATAATATATACTATATATTATATAAAAATAAGCTATAAATAATTAAATCATAATATCGTGGTACTACACGAGTGACCATATTATGTTCGTCCGGTCTATATTATATTTGTAATAAATTAAACGACAAAAAGGGTCTTGTAGTGAAATTCGCCAAATGGAATGCTCATCGTATTGGACATTGTCCCGATTATTTCAGGGTACGGTAAGTAATAAGTACCTATGTGGGATTTCTTGGAAATAGTGCTTATAACAAATGTACATATTATTATAATGTTCATACCCTATCATTAACCTACGTGTTCAAACAAAGTATCTAAACAGGTAGTCTGAAGGTCTCGAGACGACGCCGTTTAGATTGTATCGGCTGTATCATATTACGATAAAATGCCTTATAACAATTGTGTATGTGTACGAGACTCGTACTACGAGTGTTTTCTTAACCTACTTCAAACCGTGTTTCAAATGACGTTTGCTCGTTATATTATATCTGCAGGGGTAGCCAAAATGTATTTTTATTAAGAGGACGTCATACACGCATRTATATTGTCCACGTCTTACAAGTGTGTTACGTACGACATTTGCGCTCAGCAGATCACATTTAGCTTTAGTTTAAAAATTTCAGTGAACTGACCCAAGGCCGTAACTGAGGGAAGGGTCCAGGGGTCCGCCCCCCCTCCGATATTTTTTTTCTGTTACGTACTTGAATTTACCTCTTATAAAATTTAAAGTACCTACCTAAGAACATTATCTGTGTTCATATTTTTGATTTTTACGATTATTCAATTTTTCAGCAAGTTTATTTGCTTATCAAACATACCATAAATTAAATATGCTTGTAAAACACTTAAAAAACCAAACTATTGTAAACAACCTATCATACGAACACAATGTTCTTACCATTAAATATTATAAGATGTCGATTCACTTTAATTTTTAAACTAATAGAACTAGACGTGAGCTGTTGAGCGTAAATTTGGTACTCAACGCACTTATATGACGGGTACAACAGCGTCCTCTTAAGATCTACATTAGGAATATATATATTTTTCCTCAAAAGGATCAACTGATTTAAAAAATTATTTTTAATAATAAATATACGACTTATTATAGGCACTCAAATTAACAAGTAAAGTTATCTAAAAATTAATGTTTCACTTTAAATTTATATAAGTGGAATATAAACAGTGGAATGTTAGGGATATGTTGTGTAGAATCGTCAAGCGTGTCAATGGCGTTTATGGTTTTTACACATTTTTTCTTTAAGTCTCGCACATTGCAGCTCAAGTTAAGGTCACCATACGCTGCAGCGGTGACGGTAAATACTTTCTTCTTGGCGGCGCCACCGCGATGACATGGCTGTGAAATTGTGTATGTCTTAATTTTGCCACCACGGCTACCACTGTAATACGTGAGAACCATACAATAATTATTTTTTTTACCAATGAAATAAAATCAGACAAATATTAAATTTTGTTTTGTATATTTTTCATATTTTGGGGTTAACAAGCGTAAATAATATTATTATGAAAAAAACTTAAATAAGTCAAACTCCTAATTTCAATAAAAAATACTAATAATAATGTATAAACTTAAATATACTCCCATATTACATCACATATATTGACGATAAAAGGGAATTCCCGCGTGACGTCATAGAGCCAATGAGTGAACAGCCACCCATGTTTAATGGGTAAAAGAAATTTTCTATACACAATGATTTTAATAACTTTAAAAGTTGAAACTTTCGAATTTATAAAATAAATATTTGGTTTTAATGAGCCGGTTGTTATATTTTTTCTATAATCTATTTATCCCATTATTTATGTCGATCGATTTGCTCGTTAAACTGTATTTCTAAAATAAGTATGTAATTAATTAGTAAATAGTGTACCTGTACACTATTAGAAGTAGGTACGCGACTTTTTGTCAGATTTAATAAGAACATTCGATGCCGCGCAGCGCAGCGCTGTGATCCAATATAGGGCGATGTGCAACCAAAGTATCTATATCCGTGTATAATACATTAACACGGTAGATAATAAGACACAAATTATAATTAACACAATAAATATTATGGTAGATATTTGTCGTGGGATATATTGTATACTGCACGAAAGTCGATTAGTCGAATGCTACAAAAACATTGTACAAAGAACATCTTCSCGACAACTCACATATAGGTGTAGTATCAACATTCACGCATAAAAATTAAATAAGCTAAATCATGATCCAAACCTAATGACAATCCATATAAAAATAAATAACAATGTGCTTCTGCAAGCCTAAATTGAATTTAAAATGTTATCATATTATTACTATTGCTATATTATATATACAATGTTTAAAACATTTAAATGAAAGTTAGTTAAATTTAGGCTTTCAGGAGTATAAAATAAAAATCAAGAAAATGTTATAAAAGTATAAATATACATAGAGTACCTAAGTAATAAAATTGTTTACAAAATAAACAGATGATAACTCTTTCTTTTATAAATATATTACAAAAAAAAAATGATTGTTTAATACATTAGGAACCAAACATTTTTTTAAATGTATGAAAACAAATGATACACATACAACGATAACAAAATAAAAATTCAATAAATTAATTGTTTAATACATTACAATGTATAAGGGTCGTTTAGTAAAGAATCCACATTAAATTTATATGTAGTAACGTCTTTATTTTCTAGATTGTCTTGTTTGTCGTGATTGTTTTGTAAATGTTCAATAACTTCTTCTATGTCTAAATCATCCAACTTAGGCAAAACATCATCAATTTTTTGATTAACTACAAATAATAATTATTATTATGAATAGTAAATAAAAAAATAATAACATAGTAGATTTAAGGTGACATCCAAATTGCATGAACTCCTGTTTATAAATAAAATGTAAAACAAAAGTCATATTAAATTAGTAATTAAAAACTAAAATTATTGGTCTTCGAAGAATTTATAAACAAAAGTATTAATTTCAAACGCTTTTTTATGAAATAATCGTTTACATAGTTTTTTAATACAATTTTGATAGATATGGACTATAAATTAGATTAACATTTATATAATGTGTAGTTAAATCTGCTGTAACTATCAAAAGTATGCTAGTTAATTAAAAGATATTTTTTATCTGTATATTATAACTGACAGCCACGTCATAGATATTTCAGCATATTATTAATAAACATTGACACAATATTTTAATTTTTTATATGCATTCTATAAAATTATTTACATTTCACACGATTTAGATGCACCAAAATTAAATTTAATAAATGTAATTACACTGTGTTTGAATGATATGAGATAACACATCATTCGTTAATTCATAACCTGGAGTTTCGATCATATTAACGTCTTGTACAGCATTCTATAAATAATGCATAAAAAAATTAATAAAACAATGATCTCAAAAGATAATAATATTATGTAACTACTAAAACAGTTTTAAGTGATCTATTACTTGCTCTAACATGTTTCTACAAATTATATAAATTATAATATTTAAAAACACTGGTATTTTCATACGTATTTATAGAAATGGTATATCAGCCTTTTAAATATTTATTTACTTATTCTAGCAACTATATTTCTATGTATAAACAAATTGTAATAAAATTTTATCTGAACAGTAAAATTTAAATAAGTATTGGTAAATAATTATTATGTTGCTTATTGTAAAGTTTAAGTCATAGTTGTAAGTAAAAATAATAAAATAGGTAACTCAGCTAAAATTAAATATAAATCTTATTTTAGTGCTAAAATTATTTGTATATTTAAATTGTATAACAAGATTTAATTTTATATTTATCTAATTCTAATACTGTAGTAGATTTAACAAACAATACCTATAGAGACAGGGCCGGCTCTAGTGATTGTTTATACGTAGGCAAAACTTAATTTTGCCGCCCCTGTATACTAATCGTGTTTCTTCATGTCAAAAAATGCCGCCTTTTAAAAAATAATGTTTTTAATGCCGCCGTAGGCTTGTGCCTACGTCGCCTACGCCTTAAGCCGCCCCTGTATAGAGACGAACTACAAATTATATTACGTATTTTATATAAGTTGTCCTGACGTGACCAAAAATGCTGTGGCCGGTCTTGAGAAATATCGAAAATTAAATGAAAAAATTACGCACGGTACGAGATTTGAACCCACGAATCACGCGTCGGAGTGTCGGACTAGCGATGCGTAACAATGGGCCGCGGTGTCTTATCATGTTAATCTCGATATTCTGCCACTTAGACCGGAGTAACACTGTGTTCGGTAGAGAAAAGTGTAAACGGGTTGCTATCGGCTTGTACTTTTAGTACTTGCTCAATGCGTACCGTGTCATACTCCCACCCTAAACCGAACGTGTGGCCATGTGGGCATCACTGGTTCGGTGGTTACCCGGGTCGCCAATCTAACCAACTTATAATATGTTGAATATTTATAATTATAAGATTTTTTTTCTCTAATAACAATCATTATTTAATGAAAATATTTAAGTGGATAACATCTTCAGCACACTGTTTGTTTTATATCTCTTGCTCATAATTCATGCACAACATAGACAAAACAGATTTACAGATAATCATTGATTAAAATTACGCATTATAAAAAATTATGGAGAATAATTTTTAGGGTGCATGAAACTATGACATAATATCAGCTTGTTTAAATATTGTCTCAAAATGATTTAATATATACCCCCAAAAACATATAGCTATTTAATCATGTAACATAAAAGCCTCCCCGCATACATAGATGTTAAAAATTCTGTCCTCCTTAAAATTTTAATGAAATACGAAATTTACTTGAAAATTACTCAACCACTTTTTTTTAAATTGAACTAAACCTAAACCGTTCAAAATGAGTTTATTTTTTTAATGAAGACCGTTAAGAATTTTAAAATGTTAATAATATCGAAGTGAAAAGAACTATTTAAAAATGTAAGAAAGTCGTTTTCGTGAAAACTTTGTTATTATAACAAATTCAATTATGTTATCAGACATATCATTGAGTAATTAAGTTATTTAATACGATTGAAGAAATTTACTAAAAATACAAAATAAATAATATTTATTCAACGAATTTCGTAGGTGCGTTATTGGCATGCAAGTGCATTGTGCAGTATACATATATACAWGGTGGACTACGGGAAAAGAGCCAAAAATATGTAAGCAAAACACTTTTTTCATGACCCACCCACTCAATTCAAAATAAGTTTGGCGAAAATTAGGACGAAAATGCGTAGTGGTTGCGTATGCGCAATCTCATTCTCTGTAGACCAATCACAGTGATCTTACCATTCTAATCGTTCCAGCACGACGCATTTTATACATACTCCCCAACTTGTTTACTATAATATAGAGTATAGAAAATTGACAATATTAAGCTCCTTAAAAACAACCGGTATTGAATTCCCTTAATTAAATTTAAAAAATATTAATAAATATCTTACATTATGTGGAGAAGATCTTGGAATTGTGCTAGATCTTGCCTTAGGAATTGAGCCAGTGCTTGCTTTGGTAGTTGTGATAGCTTGTTTCTTAGTAATTAATCTAATTCTTGTGTTAAAATTTGCCTTTTGAAAAGCCGATTCGAGATCATTAATGCTAACTTTTTTTTTATTGCCCGTCATTGCACTTGATATTACATTTTCCAAAATGATTAAGATACGTTCTAATAAACCAAATAATATATTAGTCACAAAAAAAAAATTTTTTTAATAGTAATTACTTTGAGCATATACCGCCAGGCGTTTTAAATTCAGATTATCGCATTTGTGTTTTCTCAATCTTTGTACTGCTGTCCTCACTTTAATGATATAAGAATGCGGGATTTTTTGTTGCTTATTTGTTGAAGACATTATTTTGTTAAATTGAATCCGACAACGTATCGCTGGACTTTCCATTCTTAATAAATAAGTAGGTAATTTTTTTTAGCTATAATCAAACGATAAATTAGAAATATTTATTGACTACAAACATTTACAAAAACAGAATCAAAGAAAGGGTAGACACCTGGGTTGGTATCAATACAAGGACTGACGTGGATACTCAACAAAAGAAAACGTGGCTGCTTGACGTAAATCAATTTATGCTGAGCATCCCCGAAAATCGATGGCAGTGACGATAGCATTTCGAGTTAGAAATTAAAAAAAATTTTGTATATCCAAGATTTGAAAATCGAATTCAAGATTCTCCTTAAGTATTCCTATATTTACCAAAACAAGTCTTCCAGAAAGTTAAATAATAAAATAATCAATTTTTAGGTATTGCTAAGGATTAAAAATTTAAAACAATGGTTATCATAAATGACTTCATACAAAAAATCAAAACTAAAAACACAATTATTTTACCACAGATATTTTAAGTTCAAATTTGGACAAAATTACATAATATTATAACCAAGGAGAGTAACGACTTTAGTTTTAGTTTTAATTTAAAATTACTATTCGTGGGTATATTAAACTTTTAAACTATATTATTATATTTTATACACACTACAATGGCATATTCAAATGTAATATTTTCAGTGTTGGGTAGTAACGTAACAAAAGTAACGCGTTACGTAATTTCATTAGAATTATAATAAATATAAAATAATAATATTGTATTATATTGATTTCTTTTTCAAATTTTATCTATTTACTATAGGTAATGTATTTCTAGTACCTAACATTATTACCAGGCACRATGATAATATTGTTAAGAAATATAAAAAAAATATTTATTTTTTTTGTAACGAGAAAGTAATGAGTTGCTTTTCAATTTGAAAAGTAAAGTAATTTCATTACAATTTTATTACAGTAACGAATAAAGTAACTTTATTACATTTCTCTCTARRTAATGAGTAAAGTGACTTTATTACTTTTTAAAAGTAATTTACCCAACACTGAATATTTTTCGCATAAATGAATTTAACCTATTGATTAACTAATGGCTAATGCCTAATAGTAAAACAAATTACTTTAATCACAATAATACATCAAATATATTTCGTAATATTATTAGCTTACAGACCTTCACTTAGAATCGTTTTTCTTGTACAATGATTTTATATCATTGAATTCAAATTGAACACCGTTGATTACAGAGGCCTACTTGTAACCTACTGTATATCAGAACAACCCTCTTCACCATTAATAAAAAAGCGGGTAAAAACGATTCTGAGCGAAGACGGTTTATCTGTCTAGGATATATTATAGATTATTAAAAATTTTTAAATCTTAGTTTTAAAAAGAAAAATTTTTATGAATTTCTAGTTTGAAATAATTTGCGAATTTTCGTGATTTTTACATATGTTGTCAAAATTCAAACTTTGAATGCTTGTAAAAAAAA